AACGAGAAATCCTCTCTCGAGTTCATTCCCATTTAGAATCAATTCAATTGTTGGCCAAACAATCGAAAGCATTTAATACAGGAAAACATAAGCAGAATCAAAGAACGACAAATAGATCACAGATCTGGAAATCAAAATCAATATATACAAGGTTTCATTTCCCTAAAAGAAAATGCTCAGTTCATTACAAACATAACATCAAAATGAAGAACACGAGAAATTATAAACTAAACGTAAAGAAAAGCTTATGAAAAACCCGAGTCGAAACCCTCGTCGAAGCTTCCCGCGAAGAACTGGCGAGAACCGAAGAGAAAACCGAAGAAAAAGTCGAGAGATGGTCGAGATATCGAAAAATGAAAAGGAGACCTTCTATTTATAGTGAGATATCAAAGAAAAATATCTAGTCTCGATTTCTGTGACCAGATCGCGATCTGGGCTTCTTGGATCGCGATCTGGCAACCTCGAAAACTGCCCACCGCCTTCCTTGATCGCGATCCAGGAAGTGCGGATCGCGATCTGCCCCAACTTTTCGCTGCTACTGGAATTTGCCACCAGATCGCGATCCGGTGATGCTGGATCGCGATCTGGCCTCTCTATCAACTTCAAACACTGTTTTGACCCTTTTTCAGCCCGAATTTGACAATTGTGCATTTCACAAAGGTTGTAGCCCTTGAAGTTAGCTTTCTAAATCCACTTGAATCAGCTCAATCGGAGGTCTCATGAGAAAGTTATGCTTTAAATACCAAACACTGCCACAATCCGCGAGAATGCCCTTTTGCACGTGTTTGGTTTGGTTCTCGGCTTCGCTTCCAAAATCGTCTCGAATCGGCAAAAATAGCTTATCTTTACCTAAAATATAAATAAAACAAAAACAACATAATATATACAAAAAAAGCCGAAAACTCGGACGAACGAAGACCAAAACTCGAAGAATTGATAAGTGAAAATCATGCAAAATGAACACTTATCAAGGCGGCGGCGAGCGGAGATGGCGACGACGACAGTACATAGGCATCCTCGTGCGGAGGTGGAAGGGGAGGATATGGCACCGGCTTGTTGCGAAGGAAGAGAAAGAAGAAGAAAAAAGGAAAAAAAAAAAAAAAACATGAGAGAGAGAGAGAGAGAGATGATGGCTGGATTAGAAAATGATTAAACTTATAGTTTTAAGCAGGGTACTATAGGTTTATCATTTATAAGTATATGGTTTTGCAGATGACCTATTTGTGCTTGTAATATTCTCTCATAACCTCGTCGTGGTTAATAGGGTTAGGCTATGTTTGATAGGATTAAGCGTTGAATGTTGAATGTTAAATACACATCTGAAAGCATAAGAGTTGTGTCATAATACTAAATGTTGAACTACTAAGTTCATATGATAGTTGAATATTAGTAACATCTGAATAATGTTATTTTCCTGTTATAGCCTTGGAGAAATGATAAAATATATTTTAATTAAATTATGATGAACGAATAATTGTATAAATGTAATTATTTTTCTTGATTATCTTAATTAGGAAAGTATGTAATGTTGGTGGACATTAAATACCTTACGTGCATTGAGTTTCAAGTATTTAAATAATAGGGGTCTTAAGATACAGGTCCCTAGTGATAAAATTAATTAGAATTAAACGACAAGTTCAACTAAATATTTGCTTCACATTCTTTATAAAATCCATTCCAAAAGTGTTCCTCCACCTATAAATTCGAAATTTGCATGAAGTAAATTCAAACTACATTTATCATTTTTTTATTATGGATTTTATATCTTCATTTTTTCATTTAACATATTTTAGTTTTATTTTTGCACACTTTGTAATCTTTGTTTTTTCGTTTTTCACCCTAAAATTTTTAATTTATATGTTTTCCTTATTTTTAACATTTTATTGAAAATTACGAAAAAAAATATTTTCGTTTTTGTTAAATAATACATCAGATTTTAAAAATAAATTGGTATATTATGGTATTCTATGGCGTCCTATGATGTACTACAATTTACTGTGGTGTACTTTTTTGAACCCTACCGCCAAAAACTCCCAGCCGTCGCCAACTCTAGCAGCCAATGCGGTAGCTGCCAAACCCTAGTCGCAGCCGCCGCAGCTGTATTCACCTACTACCTTTGAGAAACCCTAGATCTGGTATTTTGAACCCAAACTAAGCAAACTCTCTTAAAATATTAAGAAAATCAGATTCAATTAGTTGAACATATGGTTTCAAAGACATAACCACAGCTCCCCGCACTGCACAACCACCGTCGCCGCCACCACTTGCACCACGACTCCTCCTGCCGCCGCCGTCTCCACCCTGGCTCCACCCGCCATCGTCGGCCTTCACGAAGAAGAGATAGATGGTTGAGAGAGAAAGAGAAAAAAAGCGAGAGAGAAAGAGAGACAGAGAGAAAACGTGAGGGAGAGAGAGAAAGAGGAGAGTTAGAGAACGTTTTGAAGAAACGTGAATATATAGGTTAGATTATTTAGGGTATAAGGGCAATATAGGAATAAATAAAAAATTAAGGATGTGGCTCATATATTAATTTAAACAAATGATTTAATTAAAAGATTGGATTTGGACTTGTCATTTAGTTCAAATTAAGTTTCCTTTAAGGAGCTCCTAGCATATTACCCCTAAATAACAAATAAATTTGAAATATAAACATCAAATAATATTTGTTTGAGAATATTTAAATAATGAAACTTTACTATGTTGTCATGTAGACAAATTTATTTACTATGTAAATTTTAACAATACAAATAAAAACGAAGATTAAAAAAAATACAACACAAAATTCAACTATTATTTATTTATTTTTTAAGAAGATTGTGGTCAAAGAATTAATTAACTACAAAGGGACGATGTATATTACTGCAAAGAGAGAAAGTTAGAATATTATTTTTTATATATGGATAAATTTGCTAATATTGATTAAGTGCACCACTTAATCAATCAGATGGAAATTTCTGTCTAGATAGGTAAGAGCAAAATAGTGTGATTCAGAATTCCTTACCAAATGCATTTAATGAAGAGACATCTAACCGAATCAGACATGTTGCCCAATCGGAGCCGATTCAGAGCGACTATCAAACGAGCAAAATACTACATTTTTGCTGATGGCCCCTTGTGCTTACACTTTCTCCTTCAATTTTTGCACATTACCCCCTTAAAGTGTGACACGAGCGGTTAAATTTGACGGAAAAACTAACGGACGTTACCTCTATCAACCATATGGGATTGAGTGTTGATATTACGAGCACAGGTGAGTCATTTCTTATAACCATATCAACCACATGGGACTGAGTGCTGATATTACGAGCACAAGTGAGTCATTTCTTATAACCACAGAGAAGTTAAGTGGTATTTAGCGTCTTTTTTTCTAAAAAAATAAAATAAATATGTTACAAATGATGTATGCACTGACGTTTGTACGAAAAATTGGAAAATTTCCGACAGAACGCCACAAATATTCGGAAAAGTATTTGCTTTTAGATACAAGAACTTATTCCATGTCTTAAAGAGAAACATGAACAATGTCATGTCAAGAACCAATCAAAGAGAATTCAAGAATTTGATTCTACATGCAACAAAAACATGATCATGCATCAAATACAAAATATCCAAACACAAATAAAGAACTCAAATACTAATATTAATATCAGCAACCAAATTCTTTCATCAATACAATGACTCAGTCTCCATTGTAATAATGAAGGCCCAAGACAAACTATGACACAGACCGACAACGAAAAAACATAAAACGAAATCCAGAAAAGAATTAAGAGACGAAAATGAAAACAAACACAAGTTCTAGACCCAAAAAGAAAAAAGGAAAAAAAAACCCAAAAGCAGCAATAGCAGCAGCAGTAAAATTATTCAACCATATATATATATGGGAAAAGGAAAAAAGAGGATTTTAGTTTTGCGGCTTGTCCCATTTGAGCGGCTTCACAACCTCCCACGTGAAATCGGGGTCGTCCCTTCCAAAGTGACCGTACGCGGCGGTCTTCAAGAACCTTCCGTTATTGCCCCTCTTCAAGTCCAAGTTGATCGACATCATCCCGGGCCTGAAATCGAACGTCTCCTTCACAATCTTCAGTATCTCCTTATCCGGAATCTTCCCGGTCCCGTAAGAGTCGACAAACACCGACAGAGGCTCCGGCACACCAATGGCGTACGACACCTGCACGATGCACCTCCTCGCGAGCCCGTTCGCCACAATGCTCTTCGCCGCCTGCCTAACAATGTAGGCCCCGCTTCGGTCCACCTTCGTTGGGTCCTTTCCGGAGAACGCACCACCTCCGTGGGCCCCCCACCCACCGTAGGTGTCGATGATGATCTTACGCCCGGTAAGCCCTGCGTCGCCGTGCGGCCCGCCGATCACGAACCGGCCGGATGGGTTGAGGTGGAAGATTGTCTTCTCGTCGAGGTACTTCTCGGGGATGACAGGCTTGATGACGTGCTCCTTCAAATCCTTGGCGATCTCGTCGTTGGTCACGGTCTCGTCGTGCTGGGTGGAGATGAGGACGGTGTGGACCCTAATGGGGACCATAGCACCGTCCTCGTTGAAGTACTCGACGGTGACCTGGGTCTTGCCGTCGGGCCTCAACCAGGGGCAGGTGCCGTCTTTACGCACCTCGGTGAGCTTGGCACCCAACTTGGTGGCAAGGACGTGGCTGAGGGGCATGAGCTCAGGGGTCTCGTCAGTGGCATACCCGAACATGTGGCCCTGGTCGCCGGCACCGATGTCCTCGGGGCGCTTGGTGAGGTGGCCGTGGACGCCCTGGGCGATGTCGGGGGACTGCTGCTCGATGTTGACGAGGACCTTGCACTTGTCTGCGTCGAGGCCCACGTCGTCGGAGGTGAAGCCGATGTTGCGGCAGGTGTCGCGGACGATCTTCTCGTAGTCGATGTTGGCCTTTGTCGTGATCTCGCCGAAGACCATCACCATGTTGGTCTTGGTGCAGGTCTCGCAGGCGACCTTGCTGTCGGGGTCCTGCTCGAGGCAGGCGTCGAGCACTGCGTCGGAGATCTGGTCGCAGAGCTTGTCTGGGTGGCCCTCGTTCACGGACTCCGAGGTGAACAAGAAGGTGTCCATTTTCCTCTCTCTACATGCAAGGAAATAAAAAGTGTTGAGAAACAAATAATTATTCGGATCCACTGGATAAAAGCAAAATAATCGGAATTTCGAGTCAATCGTTGACGAGATAAAAAATAATATGTGGCTGCAGAAGTATTATACACCAAACTGGATCATTTCTTAAAAGGGGATAAAGACACTAGATTCAGTCTATACAGCAACAATTATATCAAAATACTACATCAAATCGAAGAATTCGTGTTATTTTCGAGGATCGAGAGAATCTCAATAGAGAATCAAATCATTAACCATCAACCATTTTCTTAAAGAAACATCACTAAAGAAACCCATTACAGAGCACATCTAGCATAAATCTGAAGTAAAAGGTTCCATTGATTTTCATACTGAAACGAGTAGAAAACAGTTACCAAATAACGTTGAAATGACATAAATGCCCCTCACAAGGCAAACGGCTAACTTGAGAACCAAAACTCAGTTCAGATCTAAGTCAAAACCCTATTATTTCCTACTGAAATAATCATCTCATACTCTTAAAACAACTGCAGAACTTCCCAAAAACTAAATCAGACATGGTCAAGAATCAGACAACAATTCAAAATCTTAAAAAAAAAAAAAAAAAAAAAAAAATTCAGATTCTACAAGCAAAACAAATGTCAGATCGGACAAAACCCATGAATTAAAACCTCGAAAAACCCAAGAAAACAGAACAAAAATCAAAGATTTTGCTCAAAAAAAAAAAAAAAAGGGTTCGTACCTTAAACAAGAAGAACACAAAGTGCAGACAAGAAAAGGGTTTGACCTTCTTGGGGGTGTGGGAGGTTGGGATACTTCCTTCGAAGGTATGCCAATTGCTTGCAAGAGATGGAAATGAATATAGGGGATTATTTATAGATAGGATTCGGCAAAAATAATTATTATGGTAAATTACAACCACCTCCCTAAGATAAAGTGTAATTACAAAAAACCCCTTTATTCTTGAGGAATTATATCAAGACCCCTTAATTTTGTAAATTTCTTACATCCACCCCTACAATAGGGTGTTAATGTAAGAAATCTATAAATTTCACGGTGATGAATGTAATTATAAAACGTTAAGCGGTATTTTTGTAAATAGATATTACCTTAAGGGGTGATTGTAATTTAGTCAAAAATTAATTTGGTCACATGGACAAGTGGGTGTGACTATGATTTTTCTTTTTTTTTTTCTTTCAAACAAATGGTGGGGTCGTGTTTAAGTAGGGTGGTTGTGTATAATGACGATGTTTTAACCGTTGATTGGATGTTGGCAAGTTGGCATTTACGGTGTAGATTCATAGCAGTCGGTGGGGGAGATTGACGGGTTTATTTGGTGCAGTTTTTTCTTCGATTATAATATCGATATACGCTAGAACATCGATAAATTAATAAATTTAATTTTGTCAGATCCTGACTTAGTAAAATAATAATAAACTAGTAATTCACCCGTGCGATGCACGGGATCAATTTTACAGAAAAATTTATCGAAAACTTTGAACAATTGAAAAGAAAGAAATTGATTATGAAAATTTATCGAAAACTTTGAATAATTGATATATAATACAATATAAATAAAAAAAAAGACAAAAAAACAATTTCCATTATATAAACAAAATGTCCCGCGTGGGTATAACTCAACTGGTTCTTATATGGTAAGTTGGTGCAAGGTCTTAGAATCGAATCATAACAGCCGCAGTGTAGGAATCTCAATTCCAATGAGGGTTGGTTTCTTGTGGGACCAGTTCCAAGCCGACTACCCTATCGGGCCGTTGAGTCTCCATGAATTTGTATTCCTCCACCAAATACTTGTCGGACCAAGAGATGGAGACCCTGTGGGCTAGATATTTCGTCTTTTGGTGCAAATAAAATAAATGATAATAAAATAAAATAAGAAAATTGTGACATAAAAAATAAGATAAATCATTTGACTTAGAATGTTACAACTATCTTTTTCAATTCACTCGAATCTTAAAATAAAAGTGGTGTTTTATAAAACATGCATTGACATCATCTATAACACATAATACCTTGAGAGTAACCATTACACATTTTTTATGGTTCATATGCAATCATAGATACACATTACAAAAACATAAATTATCTAAAATTGTAAAGGAAGACAATACAATTAGTACTGAAATACCTTGGATAAACAAAAACTTCATTGAAGTCGCTAGTAAAATTAGCATAAAGAGCGAACAAAATGTAAATATTGCAAACTAAATATACACAAAAAAAAACAAATGTGTATCAAAATACACAATTTTTTGTATTTACCTTCATATTCGCTGAATTTCTTTCGTGCACACAACATTGCTAGTAATATTAGTTATATCGATCGATTCTGAGTTGATAAACATATTTATTTCATATCTACTTTTAACTCTCGATTTACGGCATATAATTGACTATTTCACCCTAATATTAACACTAATACGACACTAATAACTACTATTATTACTAATACTAAAACCAACACTGAAAGTACTAATACCAATACTCATATTAATATTAAAACCATCACTAATAATACTACTACCAATAGTAATAATAATACAAATACTAATAGTAATACTATTACTAATACTAATGTTAATATTAATTCTAATATTAATACTAATGCTAATACTAATACTAATGCTAATACTAATACTAATACTAATATTAATACTAATTCTAATACTAATATTAATACTAATTATAATATTAATACTAATACTAATACTAATACTAATACTAATACTAATACTAATACTAATTATAATACTAATACTAATACTAATACTAATACTAATACTAATAATAATACTAATACTAATACTAATACTAATACTAATACTAATACTAATACTAATACTAATACTAATACTAATACTAATACTAATTATAATACTAACAGTAATACTAATAATAATACTAATACTAATACTAATACTAATACTAATACTAATATTGATACTAATACTAATACTAATACTAATACTAATACTAATACTAATACTAATACTAATACTAATACTAATACTGATACTGATACTGATACTAATACTAATACTAATACTAATACTAATATTAATAGGCCAATTCTAATACAAATATTTAATGCTAATAATAATACACCAATACTAATACAAATACTAACAGTAATAGTAATACTAATATTAATGTCAATACTAATACTATTACCAATTATAATACTAATATTAATACTCATACTGATACTAATACTAATACTAATATTAATGTCAATACTAATACTATTACCAATTATAATACAAATATTAATACTAATATTGATACTAATACTAATATTAATAAGTCAATACGAATACGAATACTAACACTAATACCACTGCAAAAAATAATGCTAATTCTAATACGTCAATACTAAAACGAATATTAATACCGTTGGATGAAGTTTTCTCTTTTTTTGGGAAAAAGAAAATGACGAAAGGTACATGAAAACACTAACAAAGAACGTTGCAAAAACTTAAATCACCTAAGTCCTCATTTCGGCAAGCTGTCTGACCGTAATTTCATTGTTAGGATTACCCACGTGAAATGTAATACTAAAAACAAATGCGTTATTGAATCAAAATAAAGAATGTGTTTTGCTTCAATCAACAGCTTGAGGACTTTGTTAATGCTCAAGTGGAGCTCTCATGCACAATTATCGCGAGTTCAAATCTAGAATGTTATGTTCTACCACCCGAAAGGAGCAATGAAGCAATACCGCTCGAGCCAACATTAATGACAATGTCCTTCTCAAAACGAACAATGGCGGAAAGTGACGTTCAATATAATTTCCTAAACATACAATTAGTATCCCGATTTTATGTTAATTGAACAAAGAACTTACGAAATTAAACATACAAATCAATCCGAAATAATCAATATAAATTATGACAGAAAACTGCAGAACTTATCGGGTGTTGTGATATATGATATTTGAGTTATGAAAATTTCGTTTAGTCTGCATACTCTCTCATAAAACCGTCTTA